AATGGAGGTGGGTAATGGAGGGGTGGGTATGGCTTGGGTATCGGTGGGGAGGAGGGGAGGGGGAGTTTAGCTTGAAGCTGCCCCCTTCCAGCTCACTTGCTGGAAGGGAGCGTGTGTGCACTCTCCAAAATTTTTTTTTTTTTTCTTTTTTTTCCTTTTTCCTTTGTTATTCGTTGTTTCTCTTTTTTTTTTTTTTTTTTCCCTTCTTTTTTTCTTTTCTCTTTTTGACATATCAAATTTGTTTATTTTTATTTCTTTTTCTTTTGTATTTATTTTTGTATTATATTATTATTATTTTATTTCATTTATTTAGTTACATAATTTAATATCACATAATTTCAATAAAATCAACACTTCGTAAATAAATACTTTTATTTTTTTCATTTCTTTCTTTTATTTTATTATTTCCTCTTTAAATTATATCTTTATTCGTAATTTTATTATTATTATTTTATTTTGTTTCTTTATTTGGTTTTATTTTATTTTTTAATATATTTCTTTTATAATTGTAAAAATTAGAAAAAACAACAAATACGATTATTTTACTTTTTATTATAAATTCGAAATAACAACATAATTTTAATAAAACCAAACACTTAATTCGTAAATAAAAACTTAAGTAAAATTATTACATATTTCCATTGTGTCTTGCCCACACATGAGCTATTAAATCACGCTGAAGGTTACGATTTACTTCAACCGATCGCATTGTGTGACGGCGCCTCATATAATCAATTATTGAATTAGTTGAAGATTATTTCTTTACTTATATTTGAATATTGTATTATTATAATTAAATTATTATTATTATTATTATTATTATTATTATTATTATTATTATTATTATTATTATTATTATTATTATTAATTATTAATTATTATTAGTAATAATAATAATTATTATTAATTATTATTATTATTATTATTATTATTATTATTATTATTATTATTATTATTATTATTATTATTATTATTATTATTATTATTATTATTATTATTATTATTATTATTATTGTGGTTGTTATTATTATTTTATTATTATTATAGTGGTGAGAGTGGGGATTGGAAAAAAAGTAATATAAGATCGAACGGTTGGAAACGACGTAGGTAGAGGGAGGGGGATGGGGATGGGGAGGGGAGGGGGAGGGGAGGGGAAAACCCCCCCTCTCCATTGGAGATGCTCTAATGTGTTTGGTAAATTTTTAAAAAAAGATCTTAATTTTTTTTTAAAATAAGCTGTTGGAGACCAAATAAGATCTTTTTAAATAAGTACCTCTACCTAGGGCTGGCAATCGGGCCATGTGAGCCGAGCTTGGGTTGGCTCAAGCTCACATACCATCGGGCCTCGTTACTATAGGCTCAAGCTCACATACCATCGGGCCTCATTAGTATAGGCTCAAGCTCGGCTCATGTAATTTTTCGGGTTTCGGGTTTATATCGGGCCCCATTACTATATAATTGTAATGAGTAACGAAATTTATAAAAATAAGTGATGAACAAGATTTACCTCCAATGAAGTCAATCCAAAAAAAAAAACCTAGACGATCTTTGCATGTTATTCGAAAAACTTGAAAATAAGACTGAAAAACGTAAAACCAAAAAATTAGTAATTCTTATTATTGGAAACGTTTTATATTGTCAAATCTCGGTGATATGTTGCATTTGATTCATATTTAACTTATTACCACCGTCACTACTTAATTCCTTTTATTTTGACTTTTTTCTTTACAAAATCAAATAATCTTATACAGTCCTAACTTGTATGTTGATCCACAACATTAAAATAATAAATATACTATATATTATTATTATCCTAATCGGTCGGGCCTTATTCGGGTTGAGCCATAGTAGGCTCAAACTCGGCTCATAAATAAATCGGGTTTAGTAAAATGGCTCAACCTCAGCCCGGCTCACTAAAACGTAGGCTCGGCTCAAATATAATCGGGCCGAGCCATCGGGCTTCGGTTAGGCCCGGCTCAATTGCCGGTCCTACCTCTACCCCACCTTTTTATTTAAGATCTTATAATGAGTAAAAATAGAAAATA